GAATAAAGAGCGCTTAGGAAGAGAGAAGGGAAAACCATAAAGTTAGCAAATATGTGGATGCCGTCTACAGTATGAGACAGGGATACCTGATGAATAGAGCCAGAAAAGATAAACAGGCAGTGTGGAAAAGAGATGCAGTCACCACTCACGGGGAAGACAGATAATCAGGGAGACAGAGGATGTCAGGGAGAGCAAGTCCAGAGAGTCAAAGAGAAGCACAGGTGCCTTCCCAGTGCAGCAATCAAAAGTACGCACTATTAAAAGAAGAGGCACTACGTGATAGGAAACAAAAGGCTGAAATCCAGTTCCTTGGTTTTTTACTAAAAGGACAGTTGTGCTTGTGGGTCACAGTTTCTGTAACAGACTCATACCGTTGAGTGTTTGGGGAAGTGTGGAGATCACTGATTGGTGGATCTTCAGGAGTGGGACCGTTTAGAGATTAGTAGACTCTGACCATCTGGCAGTGGACGCAGGTTCACTGGAGTGTGGCTGTTAGTGACTGGCTGACTTTCAGAAGCGTGGGGATGTGAATGGGTGGCCGACTGTCAGAGGCGTGTGTACTGGTGTGAAGCTATCGTTAGTTAATTGGGATGACTCTGGTTGTCATTCGTTCATATGGCCAAGGAAAAATGAGTATTCCTAGGAGCGTAGGAACTTTTAATTCTCAGTCTTCCCTTCAGGAAATCCCTCCTCCAAAGCTGCAGGAGAACCATTTGGTATTATCCATATCCAAAATATCTTTTCTGGAAGAGAACACTGGAAACAAAATTCCAGGATTCCCCTTCATTGATTAAAAGTTACAGAACGACTGGATTGAAAGTGTCATGCCCATGAAGGATGACAGAAGGAAGAGAAAGTAGTGATATTTAGTAATTAGTTACTTGAATGGCAGAAACTGTACTGCCTGCAATACCAGTATATTTAAAGGTGATCTAAGTACAAAATCTCAAGAAGCTTGGAGTTATATAGTCACCTGTATTTACTTTGAGGCCACTAAGATAAGCTGTGGCTATCAGCTGTGGGCCTTTGACATGCGTCATGTTTAAACTAATGCCCCTAGAGCATAGACTATTTTTCATGCACACACAGAATAAAAGGATTATAACAGCATGTGGGATACAGTGTAGGTAGTTGTTAAAGGAGAATTTTAAAATCGTGAAGTCTTTTCCATTTCTGGGTTCCATGAGAATTGGCTCTGAGATATTTGATGTAGCCAAATGTGGGGAGATGTGATGTTTCAGAAAAGATTGACCCCCCATTGTTTTCAAGACCCAGTTAATTATAGAACTCCTCATTTGTTTTTTAGTATTTGGTTGTGGATAATGTTGGATATTTTGTGACATTTTCTTACATAATGTCCTTTTTTGAGCCAACAGATCATGGCTGACAAAATAGCCTGGTTTTTTGTTTTTCAAATTGGAGTTTTTCCTTACAAGTTTTGTGTCCTTTTTTGGCCTCCTCAATGAGTAGATAAAGAAGTATCTAGATCCATACAGTATAAGAAAGGTGACCTATGTATTGGATCAGAAGGGAGGCACCTATGAGCTTTGTGTCCCTTGGGTATTATTTAAGACTTGGGAGAGGATGGTTGTCTTAATTTTTCATGGCTGCATGACAAATTACCACAAATGCAGTGGCTCAGCACAACACTCAGGTGATATCTCACAGTTCTGCAGGTCAAGTTGGCTCTCTACTTAGGGTCTCACAAGGCTCAAGTCAGCCAGGCTGAGCTTTATCCGAAGGCTCTGGGAAAAATCATGCAACCGAGCATGCTGAGGTTGTTGACAAAATCCAGTTCCTTGTGGTTGTAGGACTGAGGTCACAGTTTACTTGCTGGCTTTTGGGCAGCAATCACTCTCAGCTCCTAGAGGCCACCCACATTCCTTGACATGTGGCCCCTCCATCTTCAAATCAGCAGTAGCATGGAGTCCTTCTCACTTTTGAATCTCTGCCTTCCTCATCTGCTGCCAAATGGAGATAACTCTCTGCATGAGAAGGGTTCATGTGATTAGACCAGACTCACCCTGGTAATCTCCCTTTCTTATGGTCAACTCCGCCATGCAACATAACTGAATTGTGGGGCCAATATCTCATCATGCTCAGAGTCCCTGGGATTAGGCAAGGAAATCATTGCGGGCAGTCCTAGAATTCTGCCTACCTTAAAGAAATCCCTAGAAAATCACTGTCCAGATGAAGTTGAATTTCCCAAGCAGATGATGTTGGCTGCCTTTATCAAATGAGGCACCAGGCAAATCCAAACATAAGTGTATTAAAAAAACGAATTTGTCTTTAGTTGAGACTGAAGAGATGATAGTAATTGAGTTGGGTGCTGCAGGGAAGTGAGGGATGCCTATTTTGTTTATTGCTTGCAGATCTTGAATCATGCATAGTGTAGGTATGCTAATATTCAATTCAACTATAAATAGATCGTGTGTATGAGAATTTTCCAGGATGTCCAAAATTAGTCGTTCTTCTGTATATTTAATCTGGTAGTTCTATTTGCAGAATTGACCCCACCCCATTACATTTATAGGGGTTTTCTTAAAGCAAAGAAAGGAGCATTCCTCAGAAAATGGTCTGAAAGCAACAGTTATTAGTTGGGACTTGGGAACATGTGGTGATTTTTTTTCTTCTCCTTTATCAAATACGTTACTTATTTTTGACAGGCCAAAAGTTCCCCATTGCAACCCAAAGTCATACTCAGTGAAGTTCTGCCATTTACTCATAGAACTGCAAGAGTTAGAATTACAGTGAGAGGAAGTGTAGGTTCTGCCGGGGGAGATTGTATCTTTGACAAGGACAGTCCCATGAGAAACAGCAAAAAGGCCACCGACTCAGTCACAAGTGTGAACGGTGTGATGCCCGAGAATAGAGCACTGGGTTTCCCAGCCATGCAGAGGCTAAAAAGGGGACACACCATCAGTTATATGGTAACAGTTGACTCCAGATTACGTACATAACAAAATGAGTTTCTTTTACAAATTGACAAGACACCAAGTGCCCTCTTAGAGGTTTGGT